GAGGATTATATATGGTCAGTACTGGTAAAATGAAGAAACACCTACAGATCAAGAAATACAGTAACTAAAAACATATCGGACGGCTCCGAGATGGATAGACTAACACTGAAAATCAAAGGAAAAGAAGATACAAAATATTATCAAACATGGGCCTTGTTCTATCAATGGTTAAAAGGATGTTGTATACATTAGGACCGTCATGTATATGGTGATTGTTTTAACAAATGATTATTAGCTGCACCCAGGTGTCACGGTGTTAAATTAACATCGATGGATTTTATATAATAAAAAGAAAATTAAAAACACACACACACAGGTTCTAGGAAAAGACCATAAGTATAAAATGTGGGAAATGTTTTACTCTGGACAGGTCTCAAAATAGTTTTACTACAAAATGTGGGGTTTTTTAAATTTTCTGGACTCTTGAACTTGTTGCAAGTTTTGCTTGTCGGCCATCGTATCCAAACTGTCCGGGCTCTGCAAATATCAGCAAGCACGCGCAGAAGGGCCCTGAAACCGGCGCTGTGGGACTTTCTGAGACAGGTGGCCTAAGGGCAAGCCCAGGCCTGCCCTTAGCACCACCACCCCCTTTTCTACACAGACCCTCCAATGGCTCCTATTGGTCTACAAGGACACAAGCCTGCCCTACCCTTCAGGAACCACTCCTCAGGGGCTTTCTGAGCCAGGTGGTCTAAGGCATGCCTGGGGCATGCCTTAGGGCCACCACCCTGTTCTACACAGAACCTACAACAGCGCCTATTGGTCTACAGGGACGCAGGCCTGCCCTACCCTTCAGGAGCCAATCCTCAGGCCTCCCTAGGGTCACGGGGTCCCCCAACTCCAGGTAAACCTCCTATAGGGCCACAGGGACCTCCACAAACCCCTGACGTCACTCAGAACCCCGCCCCTTCCGAGCTAGAAAGCTAGCAAGTATAAGGGGCCAATCTTTATATTGTTCAGAGTGTCACAGGAACAACTAATAGCTTGCAGGGTACAAGTGGTAAATGTGTGTCTAGCACATGCATCTGACTGTTCCCTTGAGGCTAGGGTATTTAATCTGGAGCAGCAAAGTATAAGGTCCTGTATGTCATCATGCTATGAGCCTTATCTGCTATAAAAGAGAAGGATGTCTCAGGGCTGGGAGGGATAATTCTAAGGGAGAAAGAAATTATCATTTGAAAATAAATGTATTTGGTGACAAGATGGATTTTTTATAACCTGAGGATATGCCTCTTAGAAGGGAAGTGTGTACCTGGGAAAACAAGTCATTAGTAGCATAAATTGGTTTGTCAGGTATGTTTTCAGCATGGTAACCTTCCTGCTTGGTGTAAAGGCTGTGAATGCCATTCACTGTGTAGAGATCATATAGAATTTCATAGTTGTGCACTTTCGAAACCAAAGGTGACTCTGCAGTCATGGAAGAAAAACTACCTTGGAATGTGACAAAGAAACTAAGATTGTATGTGCAGTAATATCTGTTGTGCTGATTTAATTCTGAATGATGCTTAGACTGGATGTGAAATGGAGGTTTACTGATGTCACAGGGAATAGGGATGACTGTTATTAAGTACAGTTGTGCCCCGCATAGCGACGATAATCTGTTCTGGATAAATCGTCGCTATCTGGAAACGTCGCTATACGGAAATAAAAACCCCATAGGAACGCATTAAATTCCGTTTACTGCATTCCTATGGGTGATAAACTCACCGCTAAGCGGGAATCCTCCATAGGGCCACCATTTTTGCCGCCTTAGTAAGCAAGGAATCGGCGCGAAAATGCTGCGGGTGGCCATTTTGTTGATCCGGTGGCCATTTTTGAACCGCCGATCAGCTGTTTCTAAAACATTGCAATGCTTACCGATCATCGCAATGCGATGTTTTGCGTATTTAAACATCACAATGCGATCGCTTTTGCGATCGCAAAATCTGCATCGCTATGCGGATTCGTCGTTAAATGGGCTGCTCGTTATGCGAGGAACCACTGTATATGCATGTGTAGAAAGCTGCCTGAAAAGCTCAAAAAGGTTACAGTAAAAAAATGCCACAAAAACATCACAGTGCTAAATCCATTTGTTATTCCCAAATATACTAGACCTGGGAATGAATGGGACATATGAAGTCAACATGCATGGAAGTCCAATTTATTCAATGTGTCTATTCTAGTGAAGATGAGTAGCTGAATT